GGGGGGGGGGGGGGGGGGGGTTCGAGGTTTGTGACAGGGGGAGGTAAAAATGGTCAAAAATAGCGTGACGTACTTTATGGTCGGCCCTTAGTGTTATTGTTAGTTCTTTTTTTAAAAAATAATTTGTATTTGGACGGACTGCTTATAGCAGCGGTTCTCATCCTGTGGGTCGCCACTCGCCACCCCTTTGGGGGTCAAACGACCCTTTCCCAGGGATCGTCTAAGATCATCGGAAAACACATATACTCCACAGGTATTAAGTAGCAACGAAAATAATTTTGTTGTTGGGGGTCGCCACAACACGAGGAATTGTATTAAAGTTAAAGGGTCTCGGCATTAGAAAGGTTGAGAACCACTGGCTTATAGTATAATTATTGGTTGTTAGTAAAACTAAGTAGGCCTAATCTGTTTGTTCTGATGTTCACTTCCCTATGCCCTATTATTACCATATATTTCATTATTTGCCCGCATTTCACCTCATTGTAAATCACCAACTATTTATTGACAATGAAATTGTCACAAATTTGTTTTAAAAATTTAGACACTTTTAACAAACACCACCAACAAACAACACCCCCCCCCCCCCCCCACCACCACCCCAATAAAAAAAAATAAAATAAATAAATCCCGCATTTCACCTCATTGTAAATCACCAACTATTTATTGACAATGAAATTGTCACAAATTTGTTTTAAAAATTTAGACACTTTTAACAAACCCCACCAACAAACAACACCCCCCCCCCCACCACCACCACCTCAATAAAAAAAAATTAAATAAATAAATCTAGACTTGTCACGTCATTAATGGATGCAGGACCATGCAAAATAAAAAAGCGGCACCCTGGCCAAAGCCTAAAGCTACAGCCCCCAGTAATGCTTTCCTTGATTTTGACCCTTCTGTCAAGTACCACCTTTGCACTACCCTGCATGGATAGCCCCAAAGATACGCTGCTTTGGAGAATGAACCAAGTTCCATATCATTTAACTAAATAATTGTGTTGACTGTTGACAGGAATTGTTTGATTCTCTCTGGCACTACGCAAATTGCCTATTGCATTTCATAGTATTCAGAACTTGGTGGTTATCTGATTTAATGTATTGAAGCCAAAACTGTACTATGAAAACTGACATTCTAGTTTGCAGAACAACAACTGCATTTGTTATGTTTGAATAAACACAGTATTGGTTCTGCTGTATATAGTAGTAAAGGGAACAGTGATTTCCACTCTATATAGGTCAGCTTTGAATAGTTTTTGCTCTTTTAGTCATTTTCTTATTATTCTAATCATTCAAGAGCAGACACATGTACCAAAGAAGGCAAGGAGGATTAACCTTTTATTAAAAAGTTTTGTATGGGACGGTAAAGCAGTGGCAAACCTAGAGGAAGAGGCTAAGGGGGTGACCACCACAGGTGGCACTAAGGGGGGTGAGGTGGAAAATTCATTGTTTTCGTTATATTGAAAATGCATTTTATTTGAATTAATTTTTGGAATAAAGAAAATGTTTCTTTTCAATGCTATCTGTATAATCATAATTATTAATAATTTTTTCAATTTTTGGAATTTCAACGAAACATTGGGTGAATTAAAAATTTCATAGAGAACTTAACAGAAATCCATTGTACTTTGTTTACTTCCGTTAACATACATGACTGAAAAAAAATTATCTGTTTATCTGTGTGCTGAAAACATAATTTTTGACAATTTAGTACTAAAACTATTTAACTCCCATCAATAGTTTTCAATTTATTACTTATTTGGATAACACCCCTTAAGCATTAAGTGAGGTTTGTCCAATATTGAATTATTGTAACCATTTTATAATTCATTGTTTTACTATATGCTTAGATAAGAAAAGGGTCCCAAAATGTTGGACAGATTTCTAAACAATTATATAAACTAACTTGTTGATGATATTACTTTGGATTAAAAAAAACAAAGAAATGTTCATTACGTCATCTTTCAGATAAATGTTTGGTTTTACTTCAAATGTTTGTTTGAAGTCATTTGTAACATTTCAATCAAAACTTCACATTTCATAAAGTTATAATGAACTTTAATATATTTGTTCTTTTTATCCAATGCTAAACATTAGCAATAGTTTTGGGGAGATCACTGATAAAAATTTATTGTGCAGAGATACTGATCTTCCATCAGGGGAAAGACCACCAGATAGGAACAAACCAAGGAAATGTATGCATGTACAACTGATCCGATTTTCACCATCAGATGCCTATTAGAGATATGTTACAAATATAATATCCCGGTATATCAACTCTATGTGGACTATAAAACCAGGAAATTATTGCCTATAATAGAACAAAATATTGACAACAGACTAAGATATTGACAATAGAACTTCTATTGTCAATATATTAGTCTATTTGTTAATATTTTGTTCTATTGCCAATATCTTAGTCTATTGACAATATTTTGCTCTATTGTCAATATCGCGCTCTATTGGCACATATAGGAGGCGAAACTTAATTATATTTTGTAATTTATAAAATAATTTATAAAATATCCCTCCAACGCGGCATCCATGTTTTGACTAGTTATAGGTACTTGTTGCTAGGAGCCTTCAGTATCTTGCATATGCTGATGACATAGCACTGTTAGGGGAAAGTAGTAAAGACATGTCAGAAGCCTTTATTGAATTAGAAGACGCATCACTACAAGTACTACAAGCAGGACTGGAAATTAACAACCAAAAAAAACCAAATACATGACTATGATAAGAGAAGAACAGACAGATGAAGCCATTAAAATTAGAAAACACACTTTTGAAAAAGTAAATCAATTCAAATACCTAGGATTTTTATAAAATGAAAGAAACGAATTGCTAACAGAAATTAAAAAAAAGAATATCATACTTTCAGTAGTCAGAAAATGCTCAAATTAAAAACATTACAAGAAAAACAAAGAAAACTATTTATAAAACTGTAATCAGACTGGTTGCAACATGCACAATTGAAACTTGGACCCTAACAAAATGGCAGAAAACCTATTAAACATATGGGGAAGAAAAGTTCTCCAGAAAATATATGGACCAACATAATAAAGGAGGAATATGGATGGAGAATACGAACCAACAATGAATTGTACTGTCTATATCAGGATCTCATGCTAGTAGCAGAAATAAAAAAGGGCAGGACAAATAGAAAGAATTCCAAATGACAGAGGAGTGAAGAGGGTTTGTCACCAAAACCCCGGAGGAAAACGACTCTAAGGCGGGATGGATTGACTGACAAAATTTTTATAGACACTGAAATTATGGATTATTATAAAATTGATATTAAAACAATTTGAGTGTTCAATATTCCTGTAATACAAAACAGAAACATAATACATCGGCTCATAAATCACTATCTTCAAGCAAATCCCATGTCTGCTCCATACCCAAGTACAGTAGAGGCACTAGTGGGTCGTGGCAGGGGTGTGTAACACTACATGAAAAATTGCATGTTTCACAGAGTTCGCTCATTACTGTTTCCTAACGGATCAATACTAAATAAATAAAAAGGGTGCCACCAGAAAAGGACGCCATTAAAACAGGGTGCCACCATGGCATCTTACGAGGGGTGCCACCATGGCATCTTATGAGGGGTGCCACCATGGCATCTTATGAGTTTTTAAGTTAGAGTTTGTGATTCCTGGAGTGGTTCATGACTTTACAGCAGGCCTGCACAACTCAAAATGTAAGGTGGGCCTTAATACTTTATGAAAAACGTGTGCGGGTCAAAAGAAAATAAGACAGGGGGAAAGCTATTAAGAAAATAATAAGAATAAAGATTATTTCGTTACTTCCCGGGCCACAAAGTGGGTGCTGGCACGCCGCATGTGGCCCAGGCCTGCTTTACAGCATTCCCCCCAGAAAGACGCAAACAATTTAATTGTATGCAATTGCA